AGTATCCTAGTCAATTAAACCCACAACTTTAGCTCCAGCAAGCTGTGATGGCATCTCGGTTTAAATCATAGGATCCTGGTCATCCTGAAGCCGTGAGTGCTCCCAAATTAAGGTAGATTTTCCATTCCCAATACGCCGTCGTACACCATTACATATTAATCCCTTAGCTACCATAATACTGCGCCAACAATAGCTGGGATTATTTCATAAACATGCCTCTGTAAAAGTATCTTTAGGATAGTATCTGGCCCTGTAAACACGAGACACCAATGAGTCAGTGTTAGTAAGCAGCCTCCATGCCTGTTTGTCTAACATTGCCAAATTGAATGCTCTCAAATCCTTGAAGCTCAGTCCACCATATTTTTTCGGGATGCATAATCTATCTCATGCTTTCCAGTGAATGCCACGGTCAGTTCCTGATCCCCACCAATAACGATTCATGACTCGCTCAATAACTGTACAGACATATATAGGTAGTAAAAGACACCCATTGAAAAGGTAGGCATAGCTTGGGCCATGCTTTTCAATAAGATTTCTTTACCAGCTTGAGAGAATAATTTCTTCTTCCATGATCCAATTCTCTACCTAATTTTATCTTCAATATAAGCAAATGTTACATTCTTATTCCTTCCCACAAAGGATGTCAGTCATAGATATTTTTCAAAATTGGGAGCCTGAGTCACTTCCAAGATCTGTGCAACCATATCTTTATCATTCTGGCATGTATTCTTGCTATAGCATATACTTGATTTATGATAATTGACTTGTTGCCCAGACCAACTCTCATATAAGGATAAACAATTCTTAATTTCAGTGGCTTCCTGCTCATTGGCTTTGAAAAACAGTAGGCTGTCATCTGTAAAAAATAAATGGGAGAAAGGAGAAGCACCTCTGCACCCATGTATTAGTCATTTACTCTGCGCTTGCTGTAGTAACAATGAAAGACCTTCCGCACATAAAATAAACAGATAAGGGGATAAATAGTCTCCTTGTCTCAGACCACGGGTGGGCGTGATCGGATCACTACGTGAGCCATTAATCAGAAAATTATATGATACCGTAGTCACACACATCATAATTAAATCAACCCACCTGTCATCAAAACCCAATGCTAACAACATTCCATGAAGGAAGGACCACTCCATACGGTCATAGGCTTTGGCCATATCAAGTTTGAGAGCATCCCAACCAACCGCCCCACACTGTTTCCTATTCAAGTAATGACCTACTTCAGCTGCTATGAGGATATTATCAGTAATCAATCTATCAGGTATAAAAGTACTTTGGGAGTCAGATATAATACACTGTATCAGGGGCTTCATTCTATGAGTAATCATCTTGGCCATTATTCTATATATTACATTACTCAAAGCTATAGGTCTAAGATCAGACACCACTTTAGGGGTATTTTTCTTTGGGATAAACACCACATTCGTATCATTCAGACCAGAAGGAAAAAAACGATTATTAAGACAGTTCACTATGAATGTCGAAATATGATCACCACATACTATATCCCCAAAATGCTGATAGAACAAAACCTGTGCAAAATAACAGGCACTCATCATCTAAAATACTACCCCCAATATGGAAAAGAAAATAATTGAGATGATCGAATATATATTAATATATATGACCATATGAGCTTACCTTGGTTATGTAGACATTGTACGCATATTGCACAAAATGTACACAATGTTCAACGACCAACTATTGATGTATTTATTTAAATGATCATGTATAATTGTATAAATATTAAATAAGTGACAAAGTTGTAATTTGTAAATATAGTTTCTCTGATTAGTAACAACAGTTTGAAAAAATAAATCTAATTTCACATATAAATAAACCACAATCACAAGATACGAGATGAAATTTGTTACAACAGACCAATAATCGAGTTTCACCCGTGGTAGTGCGAGAGCAACCTTTCAAAATGAAGTGACTCCTTGTGGGCAATGAGAAAAAATCTAGTTTATGTTGGTCAGTTGAATCACTATAATTTACTCTTCTACAAAGTGTCGGATTAGAGTGTAGAGGTGTCTGAGGTGCGCAATTCTACCTTTAGTCACAAGATACTAGATGATTAGTTGACTAGGGTGAAATTTTTGAAAAAACAAATAATAATTCCCATATATATATATATATATATATATATATATATATATATATATATATATATATATATATATATATATATATATATATACTAATTTTTTTACGCGCTTTGCGCAAATGGGATAATGCCCAATAATTATTTTTAAATAAGCATTTCAAAGTATATCAATGCAATATTATATAGGAGATGTTTATGCATAGATAAATAAATGTTGAATTTATTTATTTAAATCGGTAATTTAAAGTATATAAATTCAAGATAATATATGGAGATTGATTATAATTGTCACTAAAATAAATGTGTGTAACTTTGTAATAACGCTAGTCTAAATACTTAGTTTGATAGTCTAAATAAATACTACTTTTGGTTTAAATTTCTCTAATTCTTCTTAATTCTTGTTTGGGTAGCATTATCATTATTTTCATCTTCGGTACATGTCCTCTCTTTTTTTATTTTTTTTATTGGTAGTGTGTCATGTGCAATTAGGTTACTGGTGGCAGCATAGAGGGATTCATCATGCAATGAGATTATGGTGTAGGAGGCTTTAGATTTGCCTTGCTGTGTATATGAGTGAGATTTTAGTTGTAATATGAACTATTTATCTTACAAACACCTGTTGATATTTAGTAGTGGTAGTTTTTCCTCTACATGTTTCATGTGTTGTGAGATGTGTGTTGTAGGTTGTCATGGGAAAGTATTGAACAAAATATTAATATTTATTATATTTGTATAAAATACTTGGTAAATAAATATATATAACTAACATGTTTTGTATTATAACTTTGATATTTAATTACAAGATAATGTAAAAAGAAGACAATGGACAATGTAGTGAATATAATAAATTAATAAATTTGAAGGTAAGAAATCTTTGAATTGTAGAAAATAAAGAAATCTTTGAATTGTAGAAAATAAAGATAATATAACTATTGAAATTATATTTCTTTTAAATTTTTTTATAATGAATATTTTTTTTAAAATAAAGCAGTATAGACATCTAATTCTAAATTAATTTAATGCATATGTAGCTACTAATTTATTTTTTATAATGAATATTTATTTTTTGTTGTAGCTACTAATTTATTTAATTTAATAAGAGTAATAAACTGTAGTACATACCAGGACTATGTGGTGTAATGGTACCCGGGTTGGGCTTCCATTTACAATGTAATAGAGCTTTAAAAAAATAAACTGTAGTACATACTTTTCATCGACAATAATGAAATCAATGATTTTTTTTTTTAATTTTCATTCCTTGTTGAGACAAATTGTTTTGAGAGTTTGTCAATGATAATTGCTACAATTGTTGTCAATAGAGGATGATAATAATAATTCAAAATATATGGTTAGAATAGATATTGGCAATTGTTGTCAATAGAGGATGATAATATAATAATTCAAATGAGTTAATACCATCTGAGGTCCTCCGAGTATAGTGGTTTTGCCACGTTTAGTCCTAAACTTTCAAATTGACCATTTGTGGTCCTTCGACTTTCAAATTTAACCATTCATGGTCCAAGTTAACCATCCATGGTCCTTCAAGTTTCGAAATTTAACCAGTCTTGGTCCTCTTAAAAGGACCATGGTTGGTTAAAATTTAATAGTTGAAGGACCATGGGTGGTTAACTTGGACCACGGATGGTAAAATTTGAAAGTCGAAGGACCACAGATGGTCAATTTGAAAGTTTAGGACTAAACGTGGCAAAACCACTATACTCGGAGGACCTCGGGTGGTATTAACTCTAATTCAAAATATATGGTTAGAATAGATATTGTTATAATGATATAGTAAAAATTAACTTACAATTTTCTTTAGAAGTTTTCATGCATTGATCAAATTCTGATGTGTAAACTTGTTCAATTGGAGCTAGTAGGATGTTAACATTGTTAATTATTTGGAAAATGGTCCTACCGTTTTAGAGTCCATGTGTAATTGTATTTATGATCAACAACTTTGTAGTTAGACCGTGCAGCTCTAACAATGATGTAAGAACAATTTTGTCCGATAAAAAAATAACAGTATAATATTTGTAAAGTAAGGTACAATTGTACCATTATAAAAAAAATACAAAAAATATTAATACCATAATAACCTAAATCATTCCAATAATGCAAAAGCATAACTGAAATAAGTTTTGTTCTAAATAATCAAAAGAAGATTAATTAAACGTTTAAAAAAAAACCTTAATCTAAATTTGTTTTTTAAAAAAAAAAAATCAAGAAAATCAAATGATTTTTAAAGTTCTCGATTTATAATCTTTGATGCTAAACTTTGAATGCTATGTATTTAGTCGGGCTAATTGTTTGACTAAAGTTTACGCTAAATTTCATAAAATATTTTTTAAATACATTTTTTCATATGTATAATATATGTTTAACAATTATGCCAATTTTAATTGAGATGGGGTTTGAATAATAAATAAGACCTTTCTTATATAAATTAATGAGTATGTATGTTAAGAATAATAAATAGTTAACGGAATATTCCATTACTAAAGTTTATATTAACGGAATTTAGAGTTATTTAAGGGAAGAAAATAATATAATAGAGGATAAATAAGAAAAATCATTAAAAAAATACTAAAATCAAAATAATGTAAACCATTCATTTTAATTTAATAAACAACTACTACCGACATTTTTTGTTCCAGGGGCCTAACATTATTGGCTCTTATTAGATTTGTAGATTTGTAGAAGTAGAAACTAAGAGAGATTTGATTTTCAGTACTAAACTATAGCCTTACTCCAAGCATCCACTGTTCTTCCAAGAAGTTATACATACACTCAATGTTTACATAATTATACAAATTTCTATCTTGCTTACTGACTTTATAACGAACAGACTTTGAATTGAGAACCTGTATCTATTTGGAGTTGATGATCATATGATCTGAACTGCCTCAGCATATTCCTTCTCATCATCCATGCAATCATAATAGGAATCTCTGTTGAAAGTTGAAAATAGATCCCTGTTGTTTACCCATTGATCGTCGTATCCAAAAGGGTTTTCCGGCAATTGATAATCACACTCCACTTTGGTCCAATATATGACCGGAGCCAAGTTCCTCAAGAAGAATGGGTGTGTCATTAACCTCTTAGCACTCCATCTCTCCTTAGACTCTTTGTTCAAACACTTGTTGAGAAAATCTTTACAAAACACAGACACATTTTCCGGAATCTTGGGCTCTTGGGTCTCAATCTTGGCCCTCAAATCTGCTCTGTTGCACCACTCTCCCCAAACCGATTCTCCGGTGATCATCTCCACCGTAATGCACCCCACCGCCCAAACATCCCTAGCCGCCTGGTGAATTCCGGTTAAAGATTCCGGCGAGCCGTACTGCAAAGTGCCACGGAATTTCTTGCTAAACCCATCATCATTATCATTATCCTCTATCTTACCATCGTGAATTGCCAGCCCGAAATCCGCAATCTTGAGACGATTAAGCCCGTTTTGTTCCATGGGGAAAACAAGAACGTTGAGGGGTTTCAAGTCGCAATGGACGATCCCCATGGCGTGCAAATCCGAGAGGCCCACGAGGAGCTGGTAGGCGTAGAACGCCACCTCGCCTTCGGACATCATCGTCGTCTCCCCTTCCCGCGAGTCGATCAAGCTTTGCAGGGAGCCGCCGCCGGCGTATTCCAGCAAGAGATTCTACACCACTTCGTCGTCGTCTTCCAGGCTGGTGTCCGTGCCGTAGCAGTGAACGAAGTTGGGGTGTCCTCGCAGGGAATATAAAAACCGTTCCTCGTATCGGAGCGAATCTGAATGCTCTATGTCGGCGCTCTTGACGGCGACGCATGCCGGCGACGGGAACCATGCGGAAGAATAGCTACCGGGAACGGCCAGGGAGACGGTGCCGTAGGATCCCATGCCAAGAACGCGATCTTTTTTCCACCACATTATTATATTATATATTATATTGTATAAGTAGAAAGTGATCAAAGCAGGTAAGTAACTTGGCTTTGATAGATTAGGGAATTAAGAACGAAGCTAGCCATTTCTATCTAGATATATATAGGGCATCAGGTTTAGAACTACTACTTATCCCAATTTGAGTAGGCTAAGACTTCAGTCTACGTATAATTCTAATAATAGAATTATCTTTATCTTTATTATTATATTATATTATATTATTATTATTATTATTATTATTAGGACAAAGTACCTGCTAGGTCCCTGTACTGTAGCATTTTGTTCAATTTAGTCCATGTACCATGTACTTTAAAATTTAAAACAATTAAGGACAATACTTAACACCGTTAACTTTTTCCGTTAAGTTTGTCCACGTGGCGTTGCATTTGCCATGTCAGATTGTGTGATGTGGCATTGCCATGTCAGATTTTGTGTTGTGGCATAAAAGAATATATTTTTCGAACCAAAAAAGAGTAAGGTTTCAAACCCGTGACCTCTAAGTTAAAGAATGAAAGATCCACCACTAAGGTACACATTAATCTTGTTACATATTAGTTAAAATTTTTAATAATAGTAAAATTTGTAATAGTTAAAATTTGTAATAATAATAATAATAAAATCATGAACTTTTAAACAATTTATGGGCTAAAATGACTGTTTAACATAACATCTTAAATAGTAAGACAAATATTCATTATCACATAACATCTTAAATAACATCACAATGTACTAATTTTAAACAAGCCACCAAATTTTTTATTTGTCTAAAAACATATGTACCCAAACCGTATTAAGCACTAATACACAATAATAAAAAATAATTCATGAATCCAATGAGTAATTGATGCTTTCTTGGGTTGGAAACGGTGTAGAATCTCTTGCACAAATTGAAGATTGTAGTTTGTCCTTAGCTTTTTCACGCTGTATTTCCTATATCACAAGCAAAGAAAATGCTAAGTTATAAAAACTTATGAACACATTTACTTTGGTTGGAAATTAAAATTGTCACTCACCTGTAGTTTACCAAGTGAAATGTATCGTTCAGTATCAGATGTTGCAACTACGTATTTATTAGATTTTCCTGACTAGTTTTATGAAAAAGAAAATTAGTTCTATGTGCTAAATAAAAAGTGAATTAGTACTGTAAATATATATATATATATATATATATATATATATATATATATATATATATATATATATATATATATATATATATATATATATATATATATATATATGACAAAACTTGTTTGTTTACATTAACAATTGAATTTTTTTTTTGAATGTCTGCTTGTTGCATTTTGTGTATGATGAGATGAACCAGCTTGAATAAAGTGCAATGAACCAGCTTGAGTAAGGTGCAATGAACCAGCTTGCATATTTGCATTTTGTGAAGGTTCATATGAACTAGTTTGGCATGGAACTGGAGTAGAGTGAGATGGCTCAGGCCTTGTCTGTCTACTTGCATCATTCTTTTTTTTTTTTTTTTTTTGTTTTCTAAACACATAATAATACGAGTTATATTAGTAAAAAAAAAAAAAACAAAATCAAACAAAGAATAAATGAAGAAATGTAACAGTAGTACCTGGATATTAGGTCTTTGATAGTAAGGATCTACCACTTTTTTGGACATCTTAGCCTATTATGTCCTTCTTGTCGGCATATGCTACACTTCATTTTTCTTCCGATCCTAGACATTTTAACCTTTTTACGACCTTCTAATTCTTCCCTTCTTCTTTCCTTTTGTGGTCTGCCAAACACTTTTTTAACATAAGGTGGCAAAATTTCTTCAACATTTCTTTTAGGCCAAAACTTTGGCCCTTTCACTGGATGAAGCATGTGATGGTATGCCTTTAGATAAACATCCTTCTTAAAGTAATTATCTAAATACTTTGTTGGATCTTGACCCTCATACATAATTGCTGAGATTGCATGTTGACAGGGAACTCCACTTATATCTCATCCTCTACAAATATAACTTTTTTCCTTTATATTCACAGAGTAACTTTCCCTTGTTTGTGCCTCAACATTCTCCCAAGAAACTTCATGATGATCTCCCCCATTCCAATCAACCTCCTAAACTGCTGCCAATTTTCTATTTTCTCTAATTTTTGAAGTTGTCTAGGTGCATAATCAGTCTTCCAATTTCTCCCATACTCCCTATTTTTAACTAATCTTCTCATAATGTAAACTCTAATCTCTTCTAACATAGAAATTATTGGCTTACACCTAGCCTCTAAAATCACCCCATTTAATGTCTCACACATGTTATTATCAATTACATCACATTTTGAGAAGTCAGAAAAAAAAAAATGCTTGACACCAATGAATTGGATCCCACTGTTGTTTCAAATAATCATGTGCTTCCTCATCTATTCGTCTCAAAGTAGCCATATTTTTCTCAAATTCAGGTTTGTTGGGAGATCTTGCACATATCCAAAACTGAAATTTTAATTCATCTCCTCTAAACCTTTTACCCCATCTAGCATAAATATGTCTAGCACACATTCTTTGTTCAACAAATGGTAACAAATCACTTATAGAACGTAACAAACCCTACAAGCATAGAAATGTACAAGTAAAGTTATAATTCATTTAAATGTCTAATAAATGAAAAGAATAAAATAAAGGTAAAATGAACAAGTAAAGCTCATACCTTTTGCATGTCGCTCATTATTGTCCATCACATGCCATCTACGATGCCCAAATCAGCTTTCAATAAATTCAAAAACCATTTCCAATGATCAGTATTTTCTCTTCCTTGTATAATAGACCATGCAATTGGGAACATTTGGTTGTTCCCATCTCTTCCCACAGCTACCAACATCTGTCCTTTCACTAATCCTTTCAAAAAAAAACCATCTAAACCTATGATTGGCCTGCATCCTTGCATAAAGTTCTCCTTTAATAGCTCCAAAACAAATATACATTCTATGAAAAATTCCTGGTTCCTCTGGTGTAACTCTATCCACCTCAAGTTTCACTGTGGATCCAATGTTAGTTGACATAAGTTCATCGCCATACTCTCTTAACCTTTTAAACTCATCTATATAACTTTGCTGAATTTCTTTCATTACAAATAGTTTAGCTCTTCTGGCTTTGGGTAAATCAATTGTCAAACCCATTTGCGTCATGACTAAAGCTCGAATGTTCCTTGCCTTCATCCAAGGCATCTTAGTGATGTCATCTTTTAACCTTCTACCAATTATTTTAGATGTCACCCGACTATTTTTAGATGTAGGTAAACAATTGTGCTCTGAATGATAAGTTTTTACTCTGAATGAGCTATCATTACCATGTATAGAAGCTAATATCTCCTATTTACACCCTGTATCTGAACACTTTGCCCTAACTCTAACACTATCATTCTTCTTAAAAGTATAAGCAAATTGATTCTTCACTAGTGGATATATAGCTCCCAGGATCAGAAGATGAAATATAATCACTATGACGTTCATTATCTGCTAAATGTTTATTTGATGGGCCATCATCATCTTTTATATTTTTATATCTTCTCTTTTTTGTATTAACCAATACATCATCATCAACTTTTTCTTCCATCTCAATTCTCAGCTTTTGTATATGTTCATGATATTGTTTAATTTTTTCTATAATCAATGCTAATTCATTTTCACCTTCATCACTCCACCATAATAGCTGAACGTCATTTATATCATCACCATTACTTTCTAATGTATTTTCACATCTTTCTCCTTCACTTTCCACATTCTCAGCTTCATCACTTTCATCTCCACACTTTGCTGTCTCAAAAAAGCTATCAGGAATTGGAATTTCAGCATGAGTTACTGCTTGTCCAACATAGTCAGTATGTTCAACAAATAGTGAAAGATTTCCAGACTTCTTCAATAATGCACACATACCATGAACACTCTCATCATCAAATAGAACTTTCAAACTCCCATCAGTGGACTGCAGTTCTCCATAATATATACTTTTAATCTCATCTAACTTATACCCTAAATTCACTACCATTTCTAGTAAAGTCCAATAACAGATTGTATCAACATCAACATCTTCAAATACATTCATTTTTCAATTTAAATATTCTACATTTTGAACCAATATTCCTCCATGATGAAAGCAAATACTGTTCTTTTTCAAAGTTTCAGTTCCTGAAATATTATAACTCTAACTTGAGTTTGATAAATATAACTATTCTAAATCAAGCATATCAAAAAGGCAAAGAAAATAAAAATAGATTTAACTGTAATCTCTCTACGGCAACAATACAGTGAAAATTCATATTTTATTTCATAAATGATAAAACAACAAATAAAATCACAAACAAACATTATATATATATATATATATATATATATATATATATATATATATATATATATATATATATATATATATATATATATAGCTTAATAGATTTGAGAATCCATATTTTCAAAGC